TTAAAAAAAGAAAAAAATAATAACTAAGAATAATTCATTTGCAGAGGTACCTTATTTAAGTATTATACAATGCATCTAACAATGCGGCTCTTGTAGCCCTGGCTTGGGCAAGGCATCCATGTGCAAAAGCCAAAGCAGTGGTGTTTGTTTATCCATGAAAAAAGCACGCCGGGAAAGTTTGCCTTACTAGGAAAAGGTGATGTATCTACCTTATGACGTATGCATGCTAACTAAAGTGAGTGTGACGTCACCAAAAAACACATCTAGATGTGTATATAACTACAAAGTTTCTGGGCATAAATTCCCTTAATATGAATGAAGGGTTGCTCAATCTCCTTGCCATACAAATTACAGCTCCTACTGACGTCTCAGTCGAGAAATACGGGTAGCTGAAGTTTTTCTCGCAAATCTGACTACAAAGCCATATCCAAATTCACGTACCACTTCTGAGCCTGTGTTGTGCTTCGCACACGCCGCTGAGGGCGGCGTTCCGGGAACCCTGCGTCGAGACACGACGGGAAAAACCAACAAATCAAAATCAAGATACATCGATTTTTAACGGAATTCGGATAATTATCGTACTAAAAGTTGGTTTCTATTGATTATTAAGTAGTTTTCTACTCTCGTGTGGTAATATTTTTATCATTTTTACACCCGTGTTGTCGCAAGTGGTCGCGAGTGGTTCCGTGTGGTCGCGAGTGGTTCCGTGTGGTATTTAGTAGGACCCTAGGCTAGGCCTAGTCAGCTCCTCCCACCACGCCATCGATGGTGGTACGGTGGAATGAAAATGAAGCCTAGGCCTAGCCTATCTCAAATGTTAAGAGTTTACCTGTCCTATAATAATATAATGATGAATTACCTTTGTATGGCTAGGCCTACTTCGTCTTCATGCCTTCGTTTCTTTGAAGGGGTAGATGCGGGATCGACAGACATTACGAATCCCGGTTGATTGAATACAAACCTACCGCGCCAGGACAGCCAAGGACAACATGATGCTCACAGCTTAGATCAGAAATTGTATAGAGCGCTGCATAGCGGTCGAGCGGAAATAGAACCCCCTATTGCGGGTGTAGCAATATTCCTATATAGAGCCGATTCCAACATGATGTACGAATTGGAAAATTAAAAATATAATTTTTAAATCATTCAAGCTTGCTAGAGAACCGGCAAAAAGCAGATGGATAAAAGTAACAATCACATTTGTAACCAAATTGAATACTATTAAATACGTTAGGCCTATCTGAAACTGTAAATTTTTTAAAGATCATGAGGCTCTAGCCTAACGGTGCTCTTGTCAACTCCGCCGGTCCACATATAAGGCGCATTTTATACTAGTCTCTCGATCTCTCCTTGATGTTCCGAAATCATTAAAGCCAAAAAGAAAAAAATAAATATTTGTGTAGGCCTAATAAATTATAATGCTTCAACAGCTTAAAATTACGAAAGCCTATTCGTGCCACTTAAGTATATAAAATCATCAAAATTTAATCCGAAATTTCGGATTAGTAATCCGAAATAACGGATTATTAATCCGTTATTTCGAATTAGTAACTAGTTATTTCGGATTACTAATCCGAAATTTCGAATTAGTAATTCGTTATTTCGAATTAGTAATCCGTTATTTCGGATTACTAATCCGAAATTTCGAATTAAGTAATTCGTTATTTCGAATTAGTAATTCGAAAT